GAACTACCAGATCTTTGACCTTGGTCTTCCGACAGCTAATGATGATTTATTGAAAATAACGACTTACTCATGTGAATTAGCTAAGAAAAGCTCTTCTAGATCAAGTCGCAGCGGGACCATGAGTCATACGCAGCTTGCGCGTTGCAGTGACGACGCATTTCACGTAAAGTCATCATTTTTATGAAATTCAGGACGTCTTACGAAAGTTACTATTAAAATAGATGATGAAAGCCGAGATCTTGTTTATCGTCTTGTGTTTTCATAAAAAAAATGTTTTTTTATTTAATAAAAGTATAGCCATCAAAATTCTCTTGCATTTCAAAAATCTAGTATCGATAGAGACGTTTATTCGATGTTCAAAAGACTGCAAAGCTTAGCGTGAACAAAGTGATAGGATATCAAGAAAGCGAGTCGATGTTCTGGCGAATGAATTCTTATTATGGAGGTGTGCGGATTATTTTACACACCCTATATGCGCTCCGAAATGCACTGTCTGAAATAGACAGGTAAGCAACTTTATCTGTGTGAAACTCGATATGAACATTGAACATGCTATTATCCTTGAGTGGCTTCAGTAAACAATGGAACTTATATGTTTGTATAAAAAGGAATATTAGGTTTATTTCTTTTTATACTTTTACGAATGTAATAATAATATAGTATTTAAGGGCTATAGAGTTTTTTATGTTATAGGACGGCAAACGAGCAAACAGATTACCTGATGGTAAGCAATCGGCGCCGCCCTTGCATATCCCTAACAACAAAGGAGCTACGAGTGCTTTGCCAGCGTTTTAGGGATAAGGGTTTCGGATATTTAAGGATTGGGAAGGGATAGGGGAAGAAGGAGGCATTGGGCCTTCGGCAACCTCACTCACTCGGCGAAACACAACCAGTTTTCTGTCAGGCCGTGATATCACTCCGGTCGAGACGAACTATTCCTAACAATGTACAAGTTGTAGAAGTAGCGATCGAGCTAAAACAGGTACCTTAATGATAATGATAAATTATTTTGTCTTCGATTGGTAAAAAGATTTTGTCATTGAAGAAAATTGTTTTTACATCCCGAAGAGAACAATCTCTATCGTAATCAATCTCTATCGTATCGTAAGTACAATCTCTTTTTGAAACCTTTTTCAGCGATCCATGTCATTACTTATAAAAATATATGTATATAATAAAATTGAAAACTCATTATTTAATACAGTGGTCAGTTATAAACACAAAATTCAAACCACATCATAAACGTAACGAGAAAACAAAATTTAAAAGCCAAAATCCGAACAATAACCATCACCGATTGACAAATATCAGATTGTAGAATTACGATCAGTTAAAACTGAATCATTATTGCATTCTGATACCGCAATGTGATTGAGAGAACGATTCCATGTTGATGATATTTACAGATATTTGGTGATTTTCATATAAATTGGGATATTATCATATTTCGGTATAAAATAACACAAGTTACGACTTGTCTGAATAGTACGTGTATACTTTGGTCTAGAGATAATCTCCGGCCACCGTAAGCGCGGGTCTGCGGACGGCGAGTAAGGGTAGCTCGCCGACTAGAACCAGACCCGAGCGTACGGCGAATACCTACCATACCATACCAACAACTGCTGACGTGGATTTCAGATGTGTCTCTCTTTGAAGCAGCATTCATTTTTTTTTCATTTTCCAGCAACAACACGGTATAACACGCTATTATTAATAAAAAGGATTTTGACTTCTATATTAAAGACACAAAGTAACTTATCATCTAAAACTGTTGTGGTTCTCTCAGTCTCTATTTAAGTGCTATTTTTCTTTAACATACCTAAGTTTTAAAGCATTGTAGGGAATCATTTATTAGAAACGTCATTTTAGGAATATTTTTTAAAAAAGTTTAATGTTCTATATTGTAATCTTGTGCCTAATTCGTTTTAGTTTCGTGTGGTTTTAATGGCTGACTGGAATGCAAGTCATAGCGAGTTTACATTCCAAGTAATTTGTATATAAGCTTACCTGTATTTTAAAACCTTTAGTGAAACCTTATATATAATATTAAAAAAATATGATATATTTTACACACTTTAAGCTAACTATTTTCCTAAAAGGCATTTATATACTATAGGCTGGGCTCAATGGGGTTGCGGGGTAAACGCAATGAGGCTCCGTGACCTTGGCCCAGAGCAGGAGAAGGAACGGGGGGTTTTTAGTCAGTACCTAAGAGTCTGACACTCCTTCCCGCCCGACCCTGGGCGGGAAAAGTCATTAAAGTCATTTGATGATGATTTTCCCTTCACAAAAAAAGGTATTTTATATTGATTCAGTTCAATCGAAAAAATGCCATAACCCCACAGAGAACCGACGTGAACCAACGCTAGTACTGTGTTTCACCGTTTCACCATATTACCTGACGCGCAGCCGAACTTAAAATAGGTTCGTATCCTCAAACGTTGGATCATAATTTAAAAAAAGCATAAATAAGAAAGCGACGATTGATACTTTGAACTTTGATCATTTTTTTTGCCTATCTACACGCCCGCATTTTTTACGACAAAATCTATACAATCATGGCGCCTTTATGATTTTATTATGTGCATATTTTATGTAAAAGCATTAAATCCGTTCTCTAAATAAAACGAACATGCTTATTTATTCACGACCATTACTAACACGTTGTACCTACATAGGTCTCCATAGCTAGCAATTTATTGCTGATATAAAAATGTTGCTATATTTCCATCGGTTGTCGGGTTACATCGGGAGTCATCGGCTACTCTCGGCTATCTTCGGCTATCTTTCGGCAACACTCGGCTCCCCTGCACGTCGTCATGGCTCTGGTTGAACATTGATGGAGGTTCTCGACCAACTGTCACTCGCAATTTATTCCCATGCGATATTGATTCTGTTTTTATGTTGCTTATTGACTTTTTGCTGTAGGTATTAACATGCCACTAATGTTTTATTGTGTTCGAATATACATTCTTTTTTATTAAAGCTACGTTAACGGTAAATATTTCAAATTAAAGTACATTAACTCTTTTTAGGGGACAACAAAATTATCATCATTCAAATTTATGGGAATCATAACATAACCAGTAAAGAGTTCATGTAGGTACTTACTCCTTATTTAATGTCCAGACGTAACTTCTAAGTACAAAATCATGGAAACTAAACCAATTATAATGAAATTTGTACTCATAAGTACGTCATAACAATTATATCAAGTTCTTAATGAAGCATATTTTCGCAAAATAGTTTAGATACATACGAATCGGCAATTTTCAGTTTTCGTACAAATATGAAATCTCGAAAAACGACTGAAAATATACTACAATAAGTATTTAGTAGGCGTGGTGGCCCGGAGGCTAAGGCGCCTGCTTCTTATACACGAGAGTGCAGGTTTGAAACCTATTTCGTACCAATGTGACTTTATCCGAGTTATGTGTACTTTGCATGATTATTTATATTACGGCGAAGGAAATCATCGTGAGCTAACCTGGACTAATAATATCTTGTTATAAGCTTGAAATCATGCTTGCTCAAGGCGGATTAGCCGCCTTGAGCAATTAATGTGTGTAAAGTATTTGGTTTAAAATCGGTTCAGTAGCTTGCATGTTGATTATGTATGAAAACCCGTGAGCTATTAACGCAAGATTAGTTTAGTTTACATTCCTACAGAGCAGTCATTAAAATAATTGTCATTTTGATAACAATAAAATAACATTCACTCGATCCACAATCAAAAACACATTAATTTACTGTTGTACTCCTGATGACAACCTTTCAATGACATTCCAAAAGTGATTTAAAAAAATCAATATAGTACTACTTTCATTACTGAGAAGATACCGATCAGTATGGTGTTTAACTGTTCTTATTATAATAGGACGTAAGTACACAAGAGCTGCTAGGGAAATTACATTTTATTCAGATTACGTAAAGGCTATATTCGTGGTGAATATCGACATAAAAATGTATATATGTAAGTGAAGATAATAATTGGACTAATGTCCACGCACAGTTTATAGTAATCAATCAATGTAGGTTATGTCTAATTTCAATTCTATATTTCCAATAACAATTATTATATAAGTATGATCTGCAAGTAACTAGATACGGAAATAATTGGACGATGTACTTTTTTATTGTTTGATAGAATATAGTTTTTCAATTTATTTTTTTATTTGTAATTATCCGAGAGTTTAGCTGCTATCTCACCCGGGAAGCGATGATGAGATCTACCCTATTCACTCGGACCTTGAAGACGAGGACGGCCCAGGTTATATGCCCTTCAAAGAACAAATTCCACTTAGTTAACCGATAAGGAGTGGCAAAGAATGCTTCTTCTAGTTAGTGGTTCGGATCAAACCCTAGCAACGTACAAAGTAACAAACGCACAAATAATAAAATCCCTGTGTAAAGAAATGGTCTCAAGATTGCAAATAACAAATAATGTTACAATTTAGAAACCGTATTGGTTCCGTTCATATGTCATTTGTCATGATTTGAGAGCACGAGTGATTTCCAACGTAGACCTAAATTCTCCAACATTTTGTACTCTGAAAATGCTGATAAATCTGGATTAAGGTTTGCTTCATCAAAATGGAATTTACTTCAATATACTACTGTATTTTTTCTTTATAAATATCGGTCTTTCCCTTCTTTCCCTTTCGCAATCGCTCGAGACTATTTTGGGTATTTTAAATTCATTGTTAATATTAATTTATGAGTAAAACATAAATATTAATAAAGTTGAAATAGAAAATTCTAGTCAAGTTATTAATATTTCATTTCTTTATTAAAATGTTTATTGTTATAATATCTTAAAGGTTATAAATAATTCAATAATGTACTTGTTGTTAAAGTATAGGTTTTATTATAAGCTGCAGTTTACAACTCTTAACAACATGGAGTTTCCATGAAACTGTAATGTTTTCGTTTATAATAATGTTTCATTAAATTTATGTACACATACTTAAAATAAACGCTTACATATTGGTTACATTTTTGCTGCCTCTGTCCTCGGTGATACACACTTCTTTGAAGTAGGCATCTCATGGTTAAACCGAACAAATGGGTTCGCTTACTATTCACAGTTACTGTTACAAACAATAAGTCATTACCCTAATTTTTACATGATAAAATAGTTTTATAAAAATTTTATACAAGCAGTATTCGTATTTAGTATCAACTACTTTTAACTTAACGTTATAAAAGAAATGAAGATTCGAAAACTATCATTGAGTTCCGATGTCATCGTAGCGGAGAAGTCAGTCTTTACCTCGCTAAATTAAGTATAGGGAGTGTAACTAAACTTGACTGTGTGTCAGTGTGTTGAAATCGTATGTGTTGGGCCAGTCGGGCGTGTTCGTCAGCGATATCTTTGATGGCTCCAGCGAGTCTCCGGGAACGATGAGTGTATCCTCCACCTTTTTCAATTCATCAGATGATACGAAGCTTTTAAGTAGAGCGTATAATTTCGGCCAGAAATTTTCCTCATTCCATTTTAGAGTCGTTCGAAGATCTCGTTGTTCCTCTAGAAAGTCGTATATCGAGTTATCCGGACCGATATCGGCGAAAATGTAAATGGTTTTTTCCGCTTTCAACATTTCGCTGTGGATTTTCTTGATGTCAATGTGCCCATAAGTTTCCGTTAGGTAGTTGGAGGAGAACACGACGACTCGAGCACGCGTTTTCACATCCTTTACGTAGCGTTTGAAGTTCTTCGACATTCTAAATTCGCTGTTTCTATAATCTGTGATCACTTTGGTCAGAATTTGCAGAGATTCATTGGTAGACATAACTGATAACATTTCTCTGTTGACAAAGTCTTCATCTTGATGACAGAAGTCCATTAAAATTCTGTACGATTTTTCTTTTCTTTGAGCATTAGCACGATGGAACGTACTGAGTCTTTTCTTAACAATAGAATTAATTTGCTTCCTATAGATGATGAACACTATTAAAATAATTGTATATAGTGATATCACGACTGTCATTAATGTTATGAGTATTGTGAACCTCATGTAACAAGCTTCTTTAGCCCAGAGAGGGCACCGCACATGTTGCAGGTCGACAATCTGAAGCAAATATGTTAGTTACTTTTCTATAGACTGATATTTAATATTGAAACTTCGTTATATTAGCGTTACATCAACTTACCTTAGTTCTAGTTGAATACTGTAGAAAATCCATAAACAAATAGTTCTCACATCCACAGTTGATAGGATTTTTAGAGATCCATACACTTTTCATACCTTTCTTCATTACATTACGATATTCCTTTAATGCTTTCTCATCAGTCTGTAAATAAACGTATTGAATTATTTTCTGAAGGTCATGACAAGCAATACGTTGTTGACGAAGTTAATCAAATACTTACCCAAAGGTTTTGTATATTGTTGTGACTAATATCTAAATTTTCATGGCCATTCACCCACCAGTCCTCAAAAGCCACTTTGAATTCATTGTGACTTAGATTCAATAGCTTTAAATTATAAGTGTGGGCAAAAGGCGAAGCCCTTTTCACCATCCAAGAATTGTTTGTCAACTCTTTGTCCTCGAAATCAAGTTGATTGTAAGCCAGAGATATTGACATTCGCTGTTTATTGTTACTGAACAAATACGGTGAAATCGTTTTCAAATTATTGTGCTCCATTTCCAAGTATATTAAGCTAAGTAGCGACGAAAAGGTTTGACTGTAATAAAAAGTAAATTACGTCATATAACATAATCGGATGAAAGGAAATTGATCAAACACGAATAAAATATTACTTACCCAGATATTTCTACTAAAGAGTTATGACATAATTTAAGCCTTTCCAATCTCACTAGAGATGAAAACAATTTAGGCTTTAGCTCGCTCAATTGGTTATAACTCAGGTCCAACTCGAGTAGATTTATTTGATCATTAAATATGGCTTCCGGCAGGGTTGTAATGTCATTGTATGCTAATGATATGTTCGTAATTACTGGCGAATTGGCAAAAACGTCGTACGGTAAATTCTCGAGGCCACTTCTCTGAATATATATTTGCTTCAAATTTGGCAAATCCCCAAAAAGGTATTTCGGTAGCTCCTTCAGTTTGACGTCATTGTTTAGTATCACCACAGTTTCAAGCTCCGCATTATTTCTGAATAAATTCTGTGGCAACGAGGAAAATTTGTTGGAGAATAACGTCAATTTCTTTAATTTCTTCAGGGGCTTAAATATTGAAGCAGGAAGTTCGTTAAGACCATTAGAACTGAGATCTAATTCTTCGAGGACATCGACGCCCGTGAAAAGATCTTTAGAAAACCAGGTGACGTTACTTTGCCACAAGGAAAGTTTTCTCAAGAAAGATAAATGTGAAAATAAATTCGAAGATATATTGGTCATGTGATTGTGACTAATTTCTAATGTTTCCAGTTTTTCTAGTGGCTTGAACAACTCTTCAGAAAGATTTATTGTGTTTGATCTTATGTTTAGCCATGTTAGCTTGTTGATGTCCATGAACAAGTTGTCTGGAAGGTGAGTAATGCCATTTATAGACAAGAGTAGTTTTGTCAAGTCTTGTAACCCTGCAAAATGTTTCCTGTCAAAATACCCAGACAGGTTCTTTGCATTTTGGAATATCAGTGCCATAGTCTTCGATACTCCCATATTAGACAGAACATCTTTAAATGAAGATGCAGGTAGTGGACAATCCTTAAAGCTGACAGATTTAAACGAACTCATGTTATTGGCACATTTTGGTAACTTGCTGTAGTCGAGACTTGATGTGTTCTCGCATTTTATGTTAATGTAGATATTTGGAAGTAAATTTATTTTTACTGTCCGACCTGAAAAGTTTATTTTGAGTTAGTACAAATATTCTTGGAAAATGTACGACAGTTAAAGCGCGAATTTAAAACCGAACATGACGTAATCCGCTTACAGTGACGTAAACGAAAGCGAGAAAAGAAAGTTTGTTCGAAGAAAAATTGAAATCGCGCTGTGAAACTTGTGGCTCGGCTTTAAAAGGCATTCGTGAGCGTGAACATATAAGTGCACTCACCATCGATGTTGCAATTGAGTTCAACGGCGAGCGTGCCACCGCAAACGCAGTTAGGGTCACTCGGACACATCAGCCGCGCAGCACCAATTATTTGTAGTGTCAGCGCGGCCACCGCCGCATATATTACTTTACGATACATGGCTAAAACCACGCTGTCACTAACAACATTTACTTCATCCGCTGTTTGACTATGTACATCTGTTTTAGCATTTTGTATTCGAACGCTGACCCCATGTCCATGTTTTCCTTTTCATTGAATCTGTGAACAATTAGAAACACAACATGATTGCTGTTTCGTATAAATTGAAGTACAATTGTACATGTATTGGTTTTCATTTGGTTTCGAGTGTCGGGTCTGGAATTGATTCCGCTATTCATAGTTTACAAGCATCGCCAACAAAAAGCGCTGGGAAATAAATTGCCGAGCGGCAAATATAATGGAACTGTCTGTGCGATAGCCAGTTATCTCGGCACGCTGCACACGGATAATTTCGATTATTAATAAAACCTTTCGAAAAATAATTAAAATGAAGGATTTTTTATTTGTATCGATTTTATTTGATACAACTTAAAAGCACGCAGAAGGTATGTTTGGTCATCATGCCTCTGCAAAATAAATTGCATGTCACGAAATAAATGGACCAAACGGAATGACGTAATTTTATACGTATGTATAGTACCTATAAAAACATTTTATGAAAACAATCTGAAGATTGAACAAATAACCACACAATAAAGTGCAATCTACAATTTTCTACAAACATTTGACACAAAAAATAAACACTGGCAATTGGGGTTGAGAAAGGCAAGTAAGGCAACTTGAACGAGAGCGCAGCAACCGCATTGCCGGTCACCGCGACACCCTCCGACTTCGGCCGACTTCACCCGATTTTAACCGACATCGTCCGACACGCTACCACACCGTTATCACAGTTTCCGTAACAGGATAAGGTTTGTTTTAATGAACCGTTTTTGGTTAAACATGTTCGCTTCATGGGAAAAACATTGTTTTTTTTTATTATTATTTTATTTCTTCTTACTTACCCATATTGTGTATTACATGTCGTATTTCTATGTAAAAATCAAACTTAGGTCAGTTTGATTTTTACATAGAAATACGACAAAATATTTTCCTATAACAGTTTAGTTTATTAACCTATAATAGAGGGGAGAACCTATAGCTGATTACCGAGCACGAATATCGATTACCACAAGAACATAGGTAAAGATTTTTTTTTTAAACAAAACAAATGATATTGTGTATATACTAAAGCGATGACGATTATTAAGCATTTAGATAGTTTATAGTAACTATATAGGTATGCATATAAATGCAATGCAATCTAGACTGGATTTACAAGTTTACATTCCAAGATACCACTAAAGCAGTAAAACTGTTAAATTGTTTATGTCGTGCAATAATTTCATGTTGCAAGCTATCAGATAATCCAAGTAGACAGACAGTTCAGTTGCTACACTACAACTTGAATTTATCGAGTAGGGAAATATCTTACGTTCCAAACCTTCCCGAAGACAATCGAAATTGGATTCAGGATATATTGTATCTTATGTCACAGCTCTACGATCTAGATAACTTCGATATCGGTATCGATATTAGAGACTGTTATTTTATTTGCGAAAAGAAATATGGTGGTGTTTTCTTTATATGTTTGATGTATGATGTGATCTCTGTTATTATGAGCCTTATTGATATTACGTGGCTGCCTAAAATTACCGTTTTCAAGATGGATGCCTTTATTTGTTCCTTAGGTCTTTCAATATTACATTTTTGCTATCATAGAAGTGTGTCTTAAATTGAAGTTATTTTATAACACAGAGAAATAAATAATAACGTCTGTCTCCAAAAGGAGCAATGAATACTTAAGTGCGCGTTATGTTTTTTTGGCCAATTTATTAACGGACTAAGCAACTGGTGCCATAAAGTATGGCAGTGCAGTTTTTTTTTAGTGATATTGAGTTCTACCATTGCAGAAGTTTATTAATACCACTCAGGCTAACAAAATCTATGTTTTCATTGAGAATTTGAAACCAGAAAGTTTGATAATATTTTGATCGGTCATGCTATCAAAGCTGATCTTGCAACCACTCGTAGTCGTGATGCAGTGAAATATGATTATTGTGTCTCTATCTATGACACCATGATCAAATATCTCCAAAGCAAAACTGTAACCTACACCCCCGAATCCCTACACACATACAAATTACGTTCCCACAGTAACATCATTCAGGATTGAAATATTAGGTACTTCATAAATTAATTTAGGGCCGTTAACCCAGCAACGGGTACCCAAGTAAGCCGCTTTCCTCAAGTTACAACTAAAGTAGAATTATGGACGGCTTAATATTATACCTCTTTATGTAAAAAGAAGGATAAAGCAACTTTGTAAATAAAAGAAGGAACAAACAAGATAGAAAATATGAAATTATTTTGGGTCTTTGAAGAAAGCAATTTAGAATGGGACCGAACTTGTTTATCGAGGTAAGCAATTGATAAGAAAAGGTAAATCAAATCTGCCGAAGCGACGTTTAATATCTATGTTCCTTTAGATAGTTTCTCCTGGAAATAGAAACACGGAGAGGTGGAAATTTAGTTTGCATAAACAAGGTACTCTTGTTGAATGTTGATCACTTGTTTTGCATGCTTTTGAACTACAGGGTATTGGCAATAAGGTAAACCAAAATTAACTTACAAATATTCAGGGAAACTGGAAACAGATTGGTAAATAACAAATATCGCGCGAAATTCAAACCGGTATAATACTGGCCGTTTTCTAGAACGTATCACGGCTGTGCTTCTTTATCAAGTACCTTCAAAAAGTTCGCTATTTGTTTTCACATTTGACAGCCAACATAATTATGCTGATCCCATCTACGATCTCCGGCCACCGTAAGCGCTGATCTGCGGTCGGCGAGTAAGGGTAGCTCGCTAAAAAAAAAAAACGCTTCTCCTATCTGCTTGCTTGCTGAGGGTCTGCTTGCAATACGGTATGGTGCTCTTAAGTTGGTGTGATTCTTATACTTGTTTAGCCCTCTTATTCGAAAACCATCAGTGGGGCTTTGGTAACACAAATTAATTGATAGTAGATAATTATGTCGTTACTAAGGTTAGGTTAGTCGTCGTGGTGACATTTTCCGAGTCATATGTACTTTCTAAGATTATTTAGACACCACTGACAAACGGTGAAGGAAAACGACGTGAGAAAGCTTAGACTTATAATTTCTAATTACAAGTTTGCAATCGCCAATCCTCCTTGAGCAAGCGTGGTGATTAATGCTCAAACCTTGTCCGTGGGGTAAGAGGCCTTTGCTTAGCAGTCGGCACTTATAGGCTGATGATAATGATCATGACTGTCTTTAGGTTGTTGAAAGTACATTTTCAATTTTCAGGAAACTCACTTATTGGTGTGTAAGGAACATATTTCTCTCACGCACTCTACCTCCTTTTTTATGATCATCACTTCTTCGCAAAAGTGAGACGTTCCTAGTTGTTCTCGCTCCGCACCATGGCCTAGACAAAGGCAGGACGCTAGAGGTTACCGCCAACGTTTTCACTTTTTTATGGTATGGTCGGCAAACGAGCACACGGATTACCTGATGGTAAGCAATCAGCACCGCCCATGGACACTGGCAAAAATTAAAGGAGTTACGAGTGCGTTGCCGGCCTTTTAGGGATAAGGGTTTCAGATATTTAAGAATTGGCTCTCCCAAGCTTCGCCACGAATTGCTTAACTGTTGTGATATTATACAAGACTGGATTTGGTGTTCATATTATAAAAAAATGTGGTAAGTTTATGAAGGTTTTTTACGTATTTAAAAAAATACTGGTCCGTTCTAAACAGTGCGGTTAAGAAGAAATTTGTCGAAACACAGTATAATGCCGTGTAATCTAATTTTAACCATGTTGACAGTCCCTTGCAATACACGTAGTTCGTACATTAAGGATGGGACGGATCAGGGTGAAGCGAAGCGACGGTTTCGGTAATATCACTCTACGTAATCCCAGATAAGGGGAAAGTTACCAGACATGATACTTTCAGTGAAATTGATGCGGCAGCTGCAAACAATCTGGTTACGCCAATGTGTTGATAGTTTTACGAGAATAAAATGGAAGATTTTTCTTAATCTTCTAGATGAGAAGAGAATGAGAAAAATGTATCTAGTCACGCTAAAATAATTTAATGATGATGATGATGAATGGATATTATCCAATGGCTATCGCGCCTTGAGTGGGACGTAAGGCAGTATCAGATTGTCCCTGAATAAAAACCTATTTAGTTTTATCATCAATTTTACAAAAGACCATCGTACATTTTCTATTACTTGTGAATAACACAACCGATTTTGAAACCAAACAAATCACTAAATTTACCATTTGCATTATTATCGCATTTCATATAATGCTGCGGCCATTTAGTGGCCAAAACAAAAGCTCCCAAATTCACCGAAATAAAACGATCCAATAGGTACAGTGAGCGCCAAAGTATAAAGCCGATTATCATAACGGCACACGACAGATATGGAACAAATACAATGTACGATGGTACGAGCAGAAGCCGGCATATGCGGCTGGCGTTCGAGATAAATGACCACTGCATTACACAACTTTTTCATGGAAAACTAACTTGGTAAGTGACTAAGTAGCCTAACAGCAGTTTTTGTTTGGCCCTCTAGGTAATATATTTTATATCCCTTATGCAAAGTTTTTATTTGTTTCCGCACCAAACTCCTTTTTATGACCGAAGGTAAAAGTGTTAATATTTTAGTATAGTACATCCCTATGCTCACCCCACGTATTAAGTTCGAGATTTGATTTTTTACTGTTGGAATTTTAAATTTGTAATGAATTAAAACATTTAATGTCATGGATTTCCGCAAAGTAACGACTGATTGTATAGTTTATTTTAACTGTTCTTCTTGAACTAAACACACAGCTGAGTAAATTTATGTGCATACAATATGTTTTTGTTGAATAATATTTAATTAGAGAGCGTCCTCTATAACATGAATAGACAAGGGTAGACAGTATGACGTTAGTCATAAAAATCCTTACTTCACGTTTTCAGTCTTTTCACAGAATATAGGTAAGCAAAATTCATTCAAACCCAACAAAGAACATAAATTCAACTTTATATAATAAGTAGGAAACAAGTAGTGCTTAAAACAAGCTACCGTGGTTCAAGTTTATAAGTAAGCTTCCCACTTGGGAACAGTCAGGCCCTTAATCAAACTGTTAAGCAAGAGCTCAAGAAGTTAGTTGGTGCTCTTCGCGACTAAACCCGGCAAAACATAATTGTTACCACTATCTGCGCACTACTTCGTTTATGTAAGTAGTACAAGTATCGTCTTTGCTGAGTTGTATAGCTTCTGACGTTGCTTTAGGACCAACTTACGATTATTGGTCGGGAGTTGTTGTTTCAAGAGTATTTTGAGTAGTTCTTGACTTACACACTACACCTGTCTGCAGTACCGAGGAGTTGCAAGTGTGTAGCCAGTTTTGTTTGGCTCATGGATTGGGATTTACAAATTAGGGCTTTGGTAAAGTAAATTGCATAGTGAAACACATGTGTTGTTTACCACCAGTTGTTTGTTAGGTCGTGGCTCACAAAAATCACACTCCGGTCGAACTAGTCAATTTGTGCCGAAGTATGAGTTGCATGTACTGAAAAATAATGTAAAAAACGCAATGTCAATTTCTTGACCCATCAAAAATAGCCGATCATAGAATGATTAAAATATTGGATGATATTCGGTTATCTAGAAAACGGTTCTTACTTTTCAGTATATCGTTAAATAAAATTTTTTCTCCGTTTAAGACTACTCAGTACTGCATCGATAAGTATATATTTTCATAATTACTTACTTTGGTAACAAAGTAATAGGAAATACTGTAGCTCAACTCTCCGAAGCCTTTCTATAATCGGGTTGAATTTCCCTTAAACCTAAGTTTAAAGGAAACTTGGGGTCAATGTACATGAGACGCAGAGGGACAGAGGACAGCGGACCGTCTACATATGCTACATCAGATAG